CGAAAAAAGGGCTGTTTTTAGGGAATGAAGTTTGTTTTAACATCAAAATATTGAGGTTACTGGCAAATTTTTTTGATCCGGATAAAGTGGTCCAGAACTAAAATTGAAACGAAAAAGTAGATGGGGACACATATTGAGAAAGAAACTCACTGTTTTAACCTACGACAGACAATAATTACGTGACGGTGAATAAGAAAGAAAGATAATACTTTTCGATGAGGCCGATTACATTTCAATGTTATCCACTTTCGGTCTTAAGGTCACCGACTTTTTTGTTCTAGATGTTGAAGAAGAAGAAAGGTTAAAAGCTGTGTGATAGTGTCTCTTACTACGGCAGAAAAAGAAATCTTTCAACGTAAGGAAGGACAGAATTATAAGAGACACTTATTTGGCGTATCTGGTCATGGCTAAAAACTATTTCAAAATCCAAACATTATTCAAAAAACTTTATTTATTATTATTGTTAACCATAATTAAGTCAAATAAAGTAATAAAATTACCATACCCTATAATAAAATTACCATTGCAATCATTTTAATATCACTTTTATATGCTTATTCCAGTGCTTTAGGTCAATGCTTTTGAAAAAAGTCAATAATAAATACAAAAAAGGTAATGATTTTTGTGTATTTTTTGGTCATAACATGCTTTTTTATAATCATAATAAAAGCATTGTGAATATCATAAAAGAATCTGATTCATTTTATCTAAACCTTTACTTATTTTAATTATCTATTTTTAATGAAACCATTTGAATTTTTTAAAATTTGATATTGCTAAATATTTTTTATTGCAAATGCATATGTATCAAAGCACTTAATAAGAAATCACAATAATATAACTAGTTCAATTTGGTAATCGTAAATATACTATTTTATCTAACTGCAATAAGTGTTATATTTACTTGAAATCAATTATTAACTCTTTTAAGAGTTAATAATTGATACAAAAGTTCAATGCCAATATAAAAGTTATAAAAGTTATAAATACAAAAGTTATAAATGCCAATATAAAAATATAAAGCGCAATTTTAAATGCCAGCATTAATATTTTATTTTAATAATTTTTTTTAATATCTACTCTTTTATTCCTAACAATCTTCAATCCTCTCTTCAATCTTCAATCTCCTCTTTTTCGTACTTCGCATTTACAAGGTGTACCAGAATAGGTGTCCCTAATTTTTGCATTGTTTTTTACTCAGTTTCAGTTCAGTTTTCTTTTAACATAAAAATTTATTAAGTTCGCTTTAAAGTATAAACTTCTATGTGGCTCTACTTGTATTCTAAATTTGCAAAGTCAAAACGAATACAATCCGAAAGCTTATTCAAAATCTTAATATTAAAAAGTTGAGACCTTGTGAAATTTTCAAACGAATGAAAAAGTTAGGCGTGAACCAAAAATTTGTTTTTCGTACTTTAAAAACAATCAGAAGCAATGGTGATTGCTCAATTCATCATAGAGGTGAATCTAAAAGAACTGTTTTGATAAAAGCCGTTACAGAACTGATTAAGCGTAATCAATCTCAATCTATCCGAGTGACTTCGAAAAGGATGCAAATACCATTACGAAAGGTGAACAGTAAACTCCAAGAAGATTTTCAACTGAAACCATACAAAAAACAACGAATCCATGATCTTATTAAAGCACAAAAGAGTTGAAAAGAGTAAGATGATGCTACTTCGGCGCACTGGTTGTGACATTCTCTTTTTGTATGAGAAACTTTTTAATCCTACAAGATAGCTACAACCAGCAAAATGGTCGTGTATATGTAGCAAGTTCACTGTCGATAATAGATAAGTTCCAAAGATAAGTTCGCTGCTGAGAGACATCAAAATGCATTTAAAATGATGAAATGGGGTGCGATTTCCCAAAAAGGAAATTTTGCTCTTCTTTCCATTTATCCAGGAGTTAAAGTTGAAGTTTTGCTTAAAAAAAGTCTTGAATAAGCATTTGATTGATTTTGTTTCTGATTTATTTGGACGGCAATCATATCCTTTTCAACAAGGCTCAGTGCCTGATCAAAACTATTTGCCCCATATCATCAATACATATGAGTGGCCTGCTTCTTTGCCAGATTTAAATCCACTTGATCATTTTTTGAGGGTTTGTATGATGTTAAAGTCTGAGAGAGCAAAAGGAATAATTATCGAAAAAGTCCAAATACGTTTGATGCAGATTTGGAATCATGTTCCAGAAGTAATGCTGCTGTAAAGAGTTTCTTAAACATTTGTGTAAGGTTATAATCGAAAATAAGGAAAAATTTGAGCTTTCACACAAGAAATGAGTTTATTGTCTTATAGAGATGTAAAAATTATCAAAAGAAATTTTTTAGAACAGTTTTTTTTTTATTACTTAGACTTTAGAGATACTTATTATACTCGCACGCCAAGTATATTGATCAGCAATATGGCGTACTGATGGTTGTCACAGAATAAGAAAAAAAATAATAATGGATAAATATTTCATTTAACATTTTGATTGATTAGAGGTAGATTCTTTCGTTTAAGCAATACTGAAACTTAGATTGTCTTATATACGCAACGGAAAAAATCTAACTCATTATATAGTTGAACTACACCATCTGAAAAAGCACTTGTTTGTCCTTGAAAAAAGAAAAGCAAAATAATCAGATCGGATAGTAAAATAGCTCTTTAATTAGAGTATTGTTCCAAATGGATCTATGTAACTGACAGTTTCTCATTTGCTGACTTATTTCTTCTTTCTTCTTAACAGATTAACTCCTCTTACAAAAATTTCTTTCCTCTTACTAATAAAAACTTTTATAAATCTACCAGGAGGCTTCACCTCCTGTTTGCTCCGCTTCCCAGTCCTCTAATTATTTCTCATGCATCATTGTTTATTTGTCCGTAAACGCCAATATTTTCCACAAAAACAATTTTTCTTTCAAACTATACAATTATTGTAGCTTTATTCAAAAATCTTTCGTAGAAATTTTAACGTAACAAAACAAAACTGTTATCAAAATTTGGAAAATTATAATTTATACTTGAAAAAAATTAACCAAAGAATTCAGATTGTTGGATTCAATGGAAAGAAATAAATTAATAGTGATTTTACTCCTTGTCGAGACTTGTAACAATTCAAATAGGAAACTTTTCTTATCGCTATTTATCAAGTTTTTTTTTTGAAATTTTATTTTTTAAAATTTCAATATAAATGTTAAGATTTCTCTCTCTTGGCTACTTTTGCATGATACCTACTCGAGTGAAAGCTTAAGAATAATAATAAAATATAGGTATAATAGTAGGTATATAGGTAAATATAAAATATAGGTAGCAAAGAAATAAAGATCTCATGAAGTAAAAATAAATTTTAAAAAACAATGAATAAACAGTCAATATTTATAGCAATATTCAAATATTTATAGCAATATTTAAACATTTATAGCAATATTTAAATATTTATAGCAATATTTAAATATTTATAGCAATATTTAAATACTTCAGTCAATACTTAAAAGCTGAAAAACTCACGAAAAAGCACTTAAATTCGTCATAATTTTGGAAAAAATTGAAATTTCAAATTCAATTCGACAGAATTTTGAACTGAAATTCCGTCTTACAGTAAAACAATTCATAATTCTTTAATTGTAAATTTTTATAAGCATCTTCATAATTGAAAACTTCTGAGTCTTTCGGGATGAGAACAGCGATGATCTCCATTTTAATTATGCTTAATATTTTACGCAGGTTGCATAATAATTTATAGTTTATTTTTTTAATGCTGCTTAATTATTTACTCTGCTGAGAGAAAAAGGCGTTTTAACTACTGTGCTTAAAATCCAACTGAGTTTGGCCATAAATACTGCCATAAAACCTAATTTATATATTGGTCACTTTAGAAAGAATGTGCTCCTAACTTCCAATTCATATTGAGTGTGCAGAGATTTTTTATTATTTTTCAGGAAGCCTAGTTTTGTGCTACTACATTGAACGACGTAGTACATCAATTCAACTTTTATTTAATTTGTTTAAAGACAGGAACACTGCCTTTATTTTTGCGTCTGAAATCACTAAAAGTTTTTGTTACTAAAGCTTTTTTTATTTTTATGTTTCATTTTTCTCTTGTTTTTATGCATTTTTCGAGTTCACGTAAGAATTAAGAACTTAAAATTGTGTGTTTCCATAAAGTTAACTTTGGTTATGTGTTATTATTTAAATAATTTTAATTTAAAAAGAGCCCAGTATTCAAAAATAGCTGGATTAAAAAATAAAAACAATCGTCAATGAGAGAGCAAAGCGTGCTAAGATTGTCAAGCAATCCAAAAGGAAATTCGAAAATGGACAAGCATAACAAACACGGGCCGACGTCCCAAAGTATTAAATTAAATGCTCAATGTTTTTGCAAAGCTAAACTGTTCTATGGTTATGTTTGAATGATTGATGGAAGATAGTACTAAATTAAATCAGAACTTTATTTTAAACTCGGTTCTTCTTCAACGTTAGAAACATTTGTATAACGAAATAATTGCGATGTTTAATTACAGTTTAAGAAATATTGAATTGTATAGTCATACGGTAAACGTTTCATCATATTCATATGAATAATAGTCACTTAACTAGCTATTTAAATAGTATTAATATTTGCTTTTGTATTTTTTCCCCCGCAAAATTTCGTTCTTCGAGAGGTGACCTTGGATTCACCAACAAAAGTCCAATTAGAGTAATCCAGCTTCCGATCTTAATCTTCTAAAACACTTTCATTTTAATAGCCATTTTCTTTTTACTTCGGCTCTTTGTCAACCATTTCTACCCCCACGGCAATGCAATTGTTGCTTCTGGATTCTTGTTTTTCTTGAACAACCCTGAACCGAAAAATAAGCTATATAATACAACAAAAATAAGCAAATAAACAAACTTATGAATAATGCTTTAAATCTCGCGTGTGACCTTGAAATTACATGATCGCCATACGAGATCATGTAGAACAGAATACACAATTTAGGGCTAATACGAAGTTCATCGAAGAAGGAGAAAGGGTTAGAAAGCGAATCGAATTTTGAAGAGACGAGAACACGTGTTGCCAAAAAATGTATTAAAATCTATCTAGTGTTCTAATGTATTTTAAATTAAACATTTTTAGTGAGTGTTGTTACTTATGAATTATAGGCTTTTAAATAATTGCTAGTTAACAGTTTTTGATTAATATTAAAAATATATATACATGTAATTCTTCCGAAGAACTTTTACATCGCAAAAGCTCGATGCTGAAAGTAAGGTAACCCTTTGGATGTGGTTAATTATTATAGAATGCATTACTACGAATTTTTATTTACGGGGAGAATTATGGAGTTATTTTCTTACGGAGTTCCATCAGCGTTGTTGACTTTCACTTTTTCTATGATTCTAGCTTTCTTAGCTATTGCGTTCTATTATTACAAATTAAGTAAGCCTAAAGTTCCTGCAAAAAGAATACCGGGTCCAAAAGTGAATGGAATAATAACGAATGTTATACCTCTGATTAGTATCTTCAGAAATAAATCTGCAAGCAATTTAGTCCGTAAGTATTGCTAAAATTATTTTTTAATTAACCATTTTCAATTCTTTAAAACTTTATGCTTTGACTGAATTACAATCAATTTATTTTCAAATTTAATTTTGAGACATGAAAAACGTTGAAAATGCTTTATTTTGTATCCCGTTTCACAGTATATATTTTTCGATATTTAATGATTCGGAAATTAGGGATTTAAAATTTTTTTAATCATAGACAAAGAGTTTGGTAATTCAATTCTGAGAATTTTTTATGTTTAAAATGTTTTTATGTAGTATTTGTTATGTTTCTAAAAGTATTTTAGACAAAGGAAATTTGAACTATAAGTACAATAGATAAGATGACAAGAAATAGTTTCAACAAATTACAAAACCGAGTATTTTTATTTCCCATTAAATTTTTAAATTTTTTTATGATAATTATTGGTTGAAGTTAGAATCCAAACATGCGTATGGAAGTTGATTGTGTAATCTTTTATGCTGCTCAGATATACAGACTCAGTTTCACAGGACACATTTTTAGGAGCTCAGGGCGCCATTTCCATAATACATTTGCAGCATAAGAATGGCTATACTTTTTCACGAGACTTAGAATCAATAGATTTTTCTGTTTGACCCGTCTCGTTGGAAAAGATTTTTGCTGAACAAAAAGATTTAAGCATATCTAAAAACTCTTTGTGCAAGAAATGGACAAAATATAAGTTAGATTTTTTGAGCCAAGTCCTTTCTTTTTTTGGAAGGGAGGCGTAGCTTGCTACTCGGCATTAAAACCATAAGCACTTAAAGATTTTTACAAATATGTAAAAGGTCACTGCTTTCATGATAATTTTAAAGTTTAGCTTTGATATGCTCAAAAACTTAAAATTATACTGAATATGTGTCAAAGCTTTTTGTATATGTTGTTATTGTACTTTTAAATTTCTATAACAATTTTTTATTATTTTTAGCTTTAATATAAAATAAAAGCCAATGTATGAAAATGGACGAATTTACTTTTGAATATTATGATCAAATAGGCTACAATTTTTATAAAATTTATCACAAATAAATCCAATTTATCTATTTATAATAATGATAATAAACAAATTAAACGAAAAGTTTGAATCGCTTGAAATTTCGTTCTTTTAGTTTCTAAAAAATATATATTCTATTTATTTTTTAATTTTTACTGAGCAGATATTTTCTTTTATTTCACTTTCTAACTCATGAAATGAAAAAAATTTAAGTCTTGAAATAAAATATCGGAAAAATTAAAACTGAAGTAGATATCTTTAAAATCAATAGATCTTTAAAACTCATTTAATAAAAAAAAATTTTTGTTGTTGTAAAAAGCTATTGTTTATTATAAAAAATTTGAAGAAAACACTTTTAAATTCAAAATAATGAGCAAAAAAATTTATATTTACTATTTTCGCCGCTCAGAAAAGGCGTGTTTTCTTTTTGCCAGTTTTTTCTTTGTTAATCGAAAATTTTTTGATTCGCTTTTGACTTTTGCGCATACCAATTAAGTAAGTATTTGAAACAGTTAAATGGCGTTTTCTCAAAACAGTGTTCTCAATGCTTGAGTCATGCTCCTTTCTCTAACATAAAATAATATGATCTTAATTTAGACAGCTTATATTAAAATTTAATTTTTGCCCGGAACAATTTGAGGCGCCGACATTTTGAGTCAGCTAAACTTCTCCTGAGCATACAAATGTCAGGTAAAAAAATAAATAAATGGTTAAAAAAAAAGCTGTGTATTTCAGCTAATACTTTTATAAGATTGTCTCCCAACTATACAAATTACCGTAATCAAGTAAAATAAAAAAAGTTTCGAAACTTTTTCATAGTATTCCTTTTTAAATGGAAAGTTTACCGAACTTACTTTGAATAAGGAGTTTTAAACAAAAACTGAAAATTAAAATAAAATTATTCATGAGGATGAAAGTACTCATTTCGACGAACCATAATTATAAAAATTAACTCATCGGTTATTATTATTTTTTTTAGTATTCTTTCAAATGGTGTGTGCTTATTCCCATGTTTTTCAAAAAGATGGAATGTGGCTATTTTGGGGAGGTTTCAAGAAAATTTTAATTCTCTACAAAGCAGAAACAGTTGAAGTAAGACTATATTATATTTTTAAAAAAGTTAGTGAGGTAAAGCTGGAATTTGTTTTCAAAATCCAAAGTGTCAAGTTGATAAAATGTAATTATTACAGTCACAAAAATGTTATTAATTAAATGTTGTATATTGAGAAATCAATGAAAAATATATAAAGATTTCCCAAAGGAAAAGAACAAAAAAAATTAGAAAAATATTCACGAATTTAAGAAAATTTATAATTCAAAAGCAGAAATTTTGGAAAACAAAATATATTTTATTTTCCAAATTTGCCAAATTCATTGGTAAAGTCCTTCGTTGAAAATTATTGAGTTTTTTCGATGTTCTCACATAGCCAGATAATTGGTAAATGGTACCATTTTATGGTAATTTTGACCATACATTTTTTTAGTATACTAACTGTTTCGTAATTTAAAATTTTTCAGAGTTGTTTTCAAAAATACATTTTGACCCTTAATTCTTATTTCTCTGTAAAAAGAAATTGGATTCGAAGCTCCATAAAAGCTTTAATAGTTTGATTAAAAAGTAAATAAAAGAAATAAAAAAGCTTTAATAATAGCTGCGAAATGTTCTAATAACAGTTTCTTAGTTTACCTTTTATAAGAGTTAGTTTATTCTTCAATTTCAAGTCAACTATTTTTGTGAAACAAAATATGTATTACCAAATTTTTTTAATGTAATTTTAATTTTAATCATTTATTTTCAAAATCAACAGCCTGTATTGAGCAGTAATGATATTCTTAGTAAAGGGTTTGAATACGACTTACTCGCTCCTCTGTTGAAAGAAGGATTACTTAAAAGGTAAGGTTAAAACAATATTTACAAGTAAACTTCTGTGACTCCTCAAATATTTAAGAAAATCGGAAATGATTGAAAAATTTTTTAACATTTTTATGACAGTTTCAAAACGTTATTTTTTTTTATATCTATACCTATGTACATAAATTAAAATCTCATGCTTTAACATTAAATGCTATGGGGAATTTTTAAATGCTCAACACTTATATAAATTATATACATTATATATATATCAGGGCTCGAAAAACCGCCCGTCCTCGGCGGTCAAAAATTCCCTGCGGACAATGAATTTCTCGAATCCGACGTCCGCGCGGACGGCTATTTTCCCGTTAATGTTCGTGATACATTTTCAATTTTTGTTATCTTACAAGAGTCTACCGCCTCACTTCTAAAATGACCCTCTAATCTAGAAATACAGCTACATACTGCGCATGGTGGAATTGATGTTTTCTCCATCTGGGAGTACTGCGGAGGTTGAAAGGGGCTTTTCAGCAATGAACTTACAAAAAAACACATTAATACGTACTGATCTTAAACAAGAAGCGTTAAAAGCAATTATGAACATCTACGTAAATGGAAAACCTCTTTCAGATTTCTGTGCAGAAACCTCTGTAAATCATTGGCTTGATTGTGGAACTGGCAAACGTCATATTTGATTCATTTAAAAAACGCAGTACCNTGGTGGGAATAAACTAGTTTAAGTTTGAAATGCCAAGACTATAACTCAAATGTCAAATAAAGCTTTTTAGAGAATAATATGTTACTTTAATAAATGTTGTGAGTTTTTAACAGTTCTTCATGACAAAAAGGCTGAGACTTTGCCAGCGCCTTATCTCCCAGTTATGGAAATGGTGTAAAATGACAGTATGAAGAAAAATTAAAATTTTTAAAAAGTAAAAAGCCTTTATGGTGTAATTTTATATGCTTAATTTCCTATAATTTCTCTAACGTTTTACGGTCTGGACTCGCAATATATGAAAATTATTGGTTGATTTTAATGTTTTCCACCTGGCTGGAAAAACTACACAAAATCGGCAACTTTTAAAACGTAGTCAAGGTCGTTAATTAGTCTCCAAAATGAAAACTTTTTTAATGTTTAAGATTTCTGTCCAATTTTAATTTTAATTATTTATGGCCAGATAGTATAGTTCAAAATTGTATCTTTGCTTCAAACTTAAGATACTCAACATGTGTTTTTTTTCCCTTATTCTTCTTGGTGAAGAAGATTCATAAGAAACCTTATGCCTTAAACATGTAATTTATCAACAAATTTTATATTGAATGAAGTTTATAAAGAAATATCCTTACTAATTATTTTCTGTCTGAAGTGAATAATCAAAGTAACCCATGTTGATCCAGCATAGGTGACATGTATGCCACGCGAATAACGGGAAATCTGCGAGAATTCTTTTCATCTGAAACATGCCTGTTTTCACATCAAACAAATGTTCTTTATTCTTTTAACAAACCAAGTAGTAGCTAACGGTAGTAAATATTCATTTAGTTAAAAAAAAGCACTTTTTTACTAAGAGCTTTCTTTCTGCTTCACGGCATATGAAAAAATTAAACGTCAATGGGGTTCAGCTAAGAGTTTAAATGAAGATTTTGAGTGATTAAGAAAGTATTGAACCTGAAACATAAATGTTAGACGTCTCTTTTATACTTAAAAATATAAACTGATATGGGTTTAATTTTATCTTAACTTATTAAAATTTAACATTTTCAATAACTACTGAATTTTTCAAATACGTTTATGGTTTAAATCATTTAATCTTCACGGTATGTGATGTACTTTTTCAAAGCAACAAACCGTATGCTTTCAGTAAAAGAGATAAATGGCGGTATCGACGGAAGTTGCTGACTCCCTCCTTCCACTTCAGAATATTGGATGAATTCATTCCAGTCTTCAATGAACAAGCAAATATTTTCACGGTAAAAATAGCTGAAGGAATGAAGAAAGAAACTTCGATCAACATTGCATCAATGACTTCTCTCTGCACTTTGGATATCATATGTGGTAAGAATTACATTGTATAATGATGAAAAATTAAAATCCTTTCTTATAGAAAATTTTTAAAAAAATATTAGTTGTCAGACATAACTAAATAAAATTAACTGTTTCCTTATGATACTACTTTTTACACTAAATAATTTTTTTAATAATTTATTAATTAATATACGAGATTTTTATTAGAAAAATATGCCTTAAACACGATTTTTATATAAAAGAATGTTTGTAAGGGAATGTCTGAGCTTATTACTTTCACAGTATTTGAAAAAAAAATATTAATTGATTATGAGTTGAAATAAAAGTTTTGAGTCTTTTAATTTTAAGTCTTCAAATTTTTCAAATTTAAATTTTTTAATCATATTTTATAATTTAATAATATTATAACCATATAAATCATTGATTTATAATTTATAACATAAATAAAGGTTTATAACTTATTGATTTTACATGCAAATGGCTGATAGACCAAAAACGTCATGTGATACTGTTGGATGTTAAAATCTAATGCTCATCAACTAAGTAATATCTGTAATCATAACCATGTTNAACATATTATTTTCACAGTATCTGAAAAAAAATATTAATTGGCTATGAGTTGAAATAAAAGTTTTGAGTCCTTTAATTTTAAGTCTTCAAATTTTTCAAATTTAAATTTTTTAATCATATTTTATAATTTAATAATATTATAACCATATAAATCATTGATTTATAATTTATAACATAAATAAAGGTTTATAACTTATTGATTTTACATGCAAATGGCTGATAGACCAAAAACGTCATGTGATACTGTTGGATGTTAAAATCTAATGCTCATCAACTAAGTAATATCTGTAATCATAACCATGTTTCCCCTACGTTGAAATTTTTTAGACCAACTATAATAAATCGAAAAATGCTCATAAAATACGTCGACTTTAAATTGTAACTATAAAAAACATGGTTTAAGAATTGTGTATTATTAACTTCCAATATTTAGGAATTCGTCAGTAATTCGGTGGAAGTAAAGTAGTTAGACAAAAAGGTGAAATAATCATACTGTAAAAATAGCTTTAGAATGAATTAATATCTACAATTTCTTACAAGTTGAAATAAATGGGGTTTCTTTTGTGATAAAAAAAGTTTCAGTATTTTAGCAAATTTTATAGTGCACCAAATATAAAAAAAGGTTGAAGAATATATTGAAGGAAGAAATGCACCTTCTTATACATTCCAAGCTACCTTTTAGCGCAAATAATCAGGTTAAAAGTTTATTTCTTTCAATTCTTACTTCTAAAATTTAAATTAACTTTTTCTTCCCGAGAGTAATTTAAAGTTTCTTATCGAGACTAATTTTCGAATTTCATTCATCTTAAAAAGATTTAGTCTCCAAAAAGGGTAAGAAACTATTTGAATAATTTTTTTTAATGAAACTGAAGACAGAAAAAAACAATTTCTTCTTTTACCTAACGAATGTCAAATCTTCAGAAAATCTTAGCTTTTCTATGAATTACTTTTGATTTCTGTTTAAAAATGGATATTTGTATTAAACTCAATTAGGAAAAACTCTTTTTCGATTACAAAATCAAGCATAAGAATAAAAATTTTGCTTGAAAAAAAAAACTTCGTATTTCTAATGCACTTAATTCTTTGTTAGAGAAATAATGATAGTTCAAAAAATAAAATTTTTGAAAATAAATAATTAAAAAGTAAATGAAAATCTTTGGCTCAGCGACGATAATTTGATAGTTCTAGATATTTGGAATTTGCTTATTTATCCCCCAAAAGCTGTACAGTCTGCAAAGAAAAAAAAGATGTCACGTTGAATGACTTTCGTTCTAATGATCAGATTTTCAAGTACTAAGTGTCAATCCTGAGGGTGACATCAAATATCCGAATTAGTTAGTGCTAACTATTGATTAAGTTATGAAAACGGACACAAAAACGTACATTCTCGGAATAAACATCTAACTTTTTTTACATATTTGGATTTTTAACTATATTTTTAACTATATTTCAAAACATAAGGGGTAGCCGCAATCTGGAAAATATGGTCCCCATAGTTTGGTCAGGAGAGCGATCGAAAGCTCGGTTTCCTTAATGTTAATTTCATTTTTTATGTTTTTAGTCATATTTTTAAAACTAATTAAGCAATTTTTAAAAAAATTGCACCCTTTGTTAAAATTCATTTATCCAAAGATATTTTCATGCAAAAAATAATTTTTAATAATTATTCATAATTTTTTATTATTTAATTTAATTGCGGATAAAAAAATTTTGAGCTATGAGGTATAAATTTCTTATACCATATTAATCTACGTATTTGTCTATCACAAAATCTAAAGTTTGAAAAATTTTTATTCGGTAGAAGCAGAGAAAAATTTAAATTAACTACTTTTAAGATAATAATTTGGCTATAATAAAGAAATATTTAAAGGAGGCGATTAATATTTAAATGTGGTTAACTTATGAAGAACTTGACTTACGCGTGGGTAGAATAAAATTTCATTCATATTTTCTTCGATAATAACCGATTGCTAATCCATTTTTTTCGATGTTTCTTTTTTTGCCGTCTAAAAATTCATTCGTAATTTAATAAAGATATTTGAATAAACCATTTAATTGAATAGAAACATTTCATTCAACGAATGTTGAGTTTTATAAAAGCATGTTTCTGATAGAATGTGTTTATACATCAGCTTTTTTTTCTATTTTATTTTTCAGTTTGATCTTTCAATAGTTGATGCAATTTCAATAATATATAAACGTATGCATAGATTTGGAGTCACATGTTTATCAATTTCTTCAATATATATTTTATAACATATGTATTAATACATATTTTAATATTGATTAATACGAATACGTAGTCAACATTTTTAAGCATCTTTAAATTTCTTAACACTTTATATATCGCCTTAATCTTAAAATAAATTTGTTAATTACCTTTTCGCGCGTGTTTCGCAAAATTATTTTTCCAACTATTTACATAAATTTTAACATTTCTCAAAATCTTGTCCTTTGCGCTACCACGTATACTATTTTTCCTTTAATATACTACTCAATTGTTTTAGTACTTTGATTTATGTTTTCCTTTAAAGTAAAATTGCTTTTTCAAGTTATTGTCAAGTTTTTAGTGAAAAAAAAACTTAGAATTATTTTCAGCCAGCTAAGAATTAAATCTTGCTAAGAAATTTAAAATATTCTGCTGATCAAAATTATTAGATTCTGAACAGCTGACTATTTTCTAAGCATATTATTTTTTTTCTTCCAAAAATTTAAATAAATTATTGATTGTCTTTTTTTATTGCTTCTCATGTATTTGAGTAATGAAAAGTAAATGCGTACGTGTGCACGACAAAAAATACAACAATTTGCTTTGTTTTTTTAAATGAACGAAAAATTATGAACATACAATTTTATTTAGACGTTCAAAGTTATTCTTGCCAGCTAACTTTTAGGCCCTTTTAAAAAGGATAATGTTGAAAGAATTTGCTTAAAAAAGTTGTTAATATTATTTCTCAACTTTAGCAACTTTATAGCAATATTTCAAATAAATATTGCTATAGCAATATAGCAATATGCTTTATATCTGGAATATAGCAATATGCTTTATTCCAGATATAAAGCATATATGCGTTATAGCAATATAGCAATATGCTTTATAGCAATATTTCAAAGAAATATTGCTATATCTGGAAAATGCTCGATATGCCTTATTGTGTTAAACAGCTACTGAAATAGAAAATTGTAAAAAGATTCCAAAACCATTCTATTTTTAAAATCATCATCTAAAACATTGTTCTATCTCTATCTTTTTGCTTAAACAACCTATAATAATAGCTTTAACACACCATCTGAAGAAATTATGAATACAAATTTCTTCTAATATTTCGTAATAAGGAAACAAGAATACTAATGATTCATTGATAATTGCTTCATTGAACCAGAGTAGTTAATTTTTTTTAAGAATTATTGGTCTTGCAACTATTTAACTTTGATTCTTGGGACTAGGGGTCATTTAATGCGTGACATTTAACTTAGAAATTTCAAATATAAAATGTAAAAATTAGAAGAATGCGTAAGATGGCTTCAACTAATAACAAAAAAAGGACAAAATCGTCGGCAAAAGAAATTATCTCATAAGAAGTATATCAGAGTTAACTAAGTATTGTAGAAACTGTAGCAATTGTTACTCTTGTTTAATTAGGGGTATTACAAGCCTAAATTTTCCTTTCTTTTAATTTTTTTAAATTACATTTTTTGATAAGCCAAAGAAATGAGTGTGTAAATAATATCCATTCTTTTTACTGAAAACTGAGTTTAATTAGTGTCATTTGCAAATCTTATGAGGTGCAAATTGTTGAGCCCCCATGTAGGGTAGTATGATATTTTATGCATGATTGGTAGTTTCAAGAGTGGATTACAGCTAACTTCTAAACAGCTAACTTCTTAAAAAATTCTTATTCGAAAAATTACTTGTTATTTTACAAATGTTACAAAGCATGCGTATTTTTTTACATGGTTACTTACATAATTTTCACATTGACCATGAGTTTTCCCTAGATGTAGCAAAACCTTGACCCTAGTAAGCAGACGAAAACTAAATCATCATAAATCTTTTGCCTTTTTTTTATTTTTCTAACCTTGCCATTTAAAGACTATGATCTGCTGCAATACATTTTTGTTCGAGCCAAAGTATTGATTTTTTTTTAATTTTTTTACATTTAACATACATCAACATAGTATAATACAACATACATCAACATAGTATAATGCAACATACATTGACGTAGTTACTATTTTTAAAGACTTGAAATCATTACAACTTTATGCTCTTAAATAATAAGGAATTTATTTCGAATTATATACTCTTCAATCATGAAATTTAAATTTATAAATGCAATTTATTTACCTCAAACGCCATCTTCTAGCTGTATAATAAAATATATTCAATATCCGACTAATTTATCTGATATATTTTCCATCTCCATAAAGTGCCACTATTTTTCCTTTTAGAATGTCGGAGCAGTGGAATGTTATTTTGTCGAATTTAACAATTAAAATTAGTAAAACTCTAATTAAGATTAGCATATGTCTAAATAATCTGCACCTACAAAATACTACAAAAAACCTAATAAAATTTACTATTCAAATTAACAGAGACCTCAGGGCTGTGACGCCAACTTTTGACTAATTAACTTTTTCAAAGATTTGAAACTCTTTTTTTTTTCAATCTGAACTTTCAATTTAGAAAAACTAAGTTTTTATATTCGTACTAGCAAACATCTGTATTTTAATATTTTAACAGGAGTTATGTGTCCTTAAAAAAGTAAGAAAACTGTGTTATCGGCATCGAAATTATAAAGTTATCATTAAATTTAAAATTTTATCATCCAACATTTCGGGACCGCAAATTTACAAGTTTTTGAAATTAAATATTGAATGTTTTACTGAATATAAGCATAATCAAATACAACTTCTTAGTTTCGCTGCCACATTTTTAATTTCATTTTAAGTTTTAATTCCTTAATTTTATGTAGAGTTCGTGGGGTCCCTACGAACTCTACTTAAAATGAAGCTATTGTGTCAGATGTCGGTAGTGATGGTGAGAATCTTAAAGGAATAAAACAAAAAAAGCTTAGTAGCCATATTTGGTGATAAATAAGAAACTGACCGCAATCGAAAAGCAGTGAAAGGTTGAAAGAGCATGTAGAGCAGGTTAGAACGGAAGAACCGTGTTTGCATAAGTCAATTTCGGAATGTGTAGAAACATGGGGATGATATTTGCAAATCGTGCTTATTCAAGAAAATCATATAAATTAAATATTTTTCAGAATGAAATGATCTTTAATAAAAATACAATTATATATATAGAGAGAGATTAAACCTCGAGATTGTGCATCAGCATCGAGATTTTTTTATTTTATTTTTTTCCGTACCTAAGAGACTCGAACTGAGGTGTAAAAGCAATTAGTCTTACAACTCCTCATAAATTTATAATAACTTCCTAAATTTGGTTTAAGTACAAAATTTTCAGACAAATGACGTTAAAACAACTTTAAAAAGAATAAATGTCAGATAAGAAGTTCAACGTTCGGATTCTAAAATCTTTGAAAATCATAATTAATTTATTAATAGATTCAAATTTTATTTTCAAAGAAGATTAAAAAGAAAACCGTCTGTTTTCTTTAGCCAGAAANCTTGGTTGCTTAGCAACCAACACACGATGTTTTGCCAGCTTGTCATTGATTCAGTTTCGTTGATTTCAAATATGTGAAAAAAAAGGTACATGTTTATTCAGAGAAAGTACATTTTTGTGCCTGATTTCGTAACTTAATTAATAGTTAGCACTAACTAATTAGTATATTTGAGGTCACCCCCAAGAACCATTAAGATTGACACTTAATTCTTGAAAATCTAATCATTAGAACGAAAGTTATTCATTGTGATATCTTTTTTTTTTCTTTCTTACTCACTGTACATGTCTTTTGAAGAAAAAAAATATTCCGTCACCAAATAAGTAAACAGGAATTATAAATATATAATAAAAACTAAAATTTGTAAAATTGCAGCTTGTAATAGAATAGAAAAACTATCTAAACATTCGAATTTATGAATTTGTCATAGTTGAAGTTGCGATAATATTGATGTTTGTTTTATTTCAGAAACTGCAATGGGAAAGAAAATAAATGCTCAAACAAACGAGTCACCATATGTTATAGCTTTGCACAAGTAAGATTTTTAAATCGTTATTCAAGAATAAATTAAATAAAGAAAGGAAACGAGAAAAAAAAACACTCTTAGGCAAAAATTTAAAAAAGAGATTTTAAAAACAGAAATGTGTGCTTTCATATTTCTAACAACAATATTATTTATTTGTATTGCATAATAAAATTATTCATTTTACGGTGCTTGTTACAAATTATGAAAAGATATATTTTTAGTATAATTTTTAAATAGTATTTATTATTCCTTATAAAAAAAAATTTACATTGTTGTTTCTAAAAAAATCTGCCTTTTATATAACTTTTTAATATAGAATTAATATTTTTTAAAGCATTATATTATAAATTGTAATAACATTTCTAATATCGATCATATACATTGAAGAATAATATACATTTTTCATCATTGTTTTGAAGGATTCGTTATTTCATCATTATTGAAGATAGTTTACATCTGTGAAAGTAGATGACGCCACCAGAGAACGGAACTATGATAACATGATATGATTCTTTCAAAGTTCACAAAACTTGCAATAGTGCTGCCATCTATAACATCCTTAAATTACTCTTTTTGATATGGGATGAGCAACCCATGGCATACTATTACTTTCATCTCATTGTTTTATATGCGCTTTCATTTTTTTTTTAACTAACTTGATTTATAATTATGCCATACTTAAAAATTTAAGAATAATCAATTAATTTGTTAGTTGATAAATCTTATAATTTTACTTAACTAAAATGCTATTCTACTTAACTATTACTTAACTAATTTTTCCTGTGAGTCAAAATCAAGAAAATATTAAGGAGAGAAAAAGATAAAAACTTTACTTTTTAAATTATTTAAAACATATTTTTTAAAATTTTATTTGTTGCAGATTTTGTAAACTAGCTACTGAAAGAATATTACAGCCGTGGTTGTGGTATGATTTTCTTTATTATTACACGAAAGCAGGAAAGGAACTCAATCAATGCATGGCAATAATGGATACATTTACTCGACAGGTATATATTACTACTATTTATTTATTTTTTGCAAACAGATTGTGCATCATGGAAATGGTTTTACATCATAATTTAGTTATATTAATTACCTAAATGTTTCAAAATCTTGTAACTTATATTAATTAATAAATATTACAACTGGACCATTAATTGTAATAAAAAATATTCCGTCGCAAAATAAATAAACAGGGATTATAAATAAATAATAAAAACTAAAATTTGCAAAATGGCAGCTTGTAATAAAATCGAAAAACTATCTACAAGACAAAAAAGGTTCTGAACTATTCTCATTTATACACATATGTATATACGCTAGCTGTACAGCCGTTCAGCGTACGGTGAAAAATGTAAATATTCAAATCAATACTAATCAAAATAACGAAATCATGCAACAAAACCGAAATACATATGCGGATGCAATTATTTTTTTTAAGAAAATAATTCTGTATTATTTATTTATTATGATTTGTTGAACTTTCCGGTGACTTTACCTTATCAGAATCAGAAAAACGCGTTTTCAGCAGTTCATCTTGTCAAAGTAAATATCAACTATTTTCAGTGTCGTTTAGAACAATGCTATTGCTCGTAATCAATTCAATCAAGTCAAAGCAACCACAATCAAGCAAAACTCTTTTCGGAGGATGAAAAAATCTATTTCCACAGTACTTACATGTAACAGGTGCCTTGGTATTTACCTTTAGTACCTTTATTTTATTTTATAACCGTCGTTGAACAGGCAACCCAATTTTGGGTTTATGACTACTAATGTTCAACTCCGTAGCCTTGTAATTTTCAACCAAATCCAGAAGACAAGAGAACTCTTGGATTATGTATTGGTTGAAAATTGCCTTCGTGGAGGACTTTTTGGTGGAACTAACCCACATTTGTGTTACATAGAGATTAAAACCACGAAAATCTCCCACGGTTAGCTTGACGGCAAGGAGACTCTAACCTATGATCTGTCCACCACTGAGGATATTTTACATCAGCACTTTGATTAGTGCAAACCAGATGCGGAATTCGTATCGACCAGCCATGGCTGGGATTTTAAATCGGTTCACCTCATTGGAAAGTGAACACTCTATCCCCTGAGCATTCGTGCCCATATTAGTATATTTTTTATTTGCTACAACAACATTTATTACCGCAATGTCATTAGTACTAATTGCCAAAATTAATTAAACAACAATAGCCCTATAATAGTAAGCCAATTTTTTATGGTACCCAAAATGAAATAGGAACTTAGCTCGGATAATTTTCTTTCTTAGAAAAACTAGTTTTATTTCAAAAACCGTTCATTTTAAATGACTAGTTTTGTAGAAACACCTTTCAAACGTGTTACCACAGACGATAGGTTTCAGATAACTTAAGAAATAATTATTCGTTGGGTAGCACCCACAAGCCATCAATTTTAATTATTGAGCTTATACGAATAAAGATTTTTTGAATCATTAAAAAGGTGCAAATGAACTGCTTTTTTGATTTAATAGAGCTGTAAGCTTGCAAATATCTCTAATATAATCTTTTAAACAATTGAAGAAATTTCGTCTGCAGTTTAATATCTTCATAAGATCGCCTTACATTTTATTATTATAGATTTAAACTATTTAACCTTTATTTAACTTACGGATTTAAACTGAATTCTAAGATTTCAGGTAGTTTCATTTAAGCTGTAATTTTAAATAATTTGTGTAGTTAAATACCACATATTTGCTCTTTTTCTAAAAAAATTTTTTTTTAAAAATTACAAGAATAAAAAAGAAACTATGCTCATCAAACACTGTGATTCGCTCTCTTTCTCTGCAGACAAAATGTGAAAATGGATTCAGTTAAATAATTCTTTCATTTGTTTTCAAAAATAAAAATGTGGGATACTTTTAGTTATAAAGTCATTTAAAAACTGTTAATTTCGCTTAGAACTATGTATGTTCGGAGACTACCTGATTATGACGGGCCTAGTATTGAAAATAGCGTTTGGTTGTCGGTACCTACAAATATTAATTTTTAAATAAATATTCAGAAAAAGGTGCCGAACTAATAATATTTGACAAAATATAAAAAAACTTTTAAATATTTATATCATTATACTTTTTTTTAACTAATTCATTTAGAAAGAATTAGCATTTCTAGCTGTGTTGCTGATTTATTTTCGAGTTAGATTTCAATTTGTTACATAAAGGATTTAAAATTTATAATAAACCGAATTACTATTTTAAATGTTAATATTCACTCTTTTTACATAGCTCTATCTTATGTTTTGCTTTTTAACTTCTATTTACAAACAAAAAATGTTTTGCATTCAGATATTCTCTGGTAAAATATTCTATTGTTACGTTTCAAAAACTATATGTATCTTAAAAACGAACATTAATGATCATATTAGACAAAAAGAGAGATTTTCCTGTTTCAATTAGTTCACTTAAGTATTGACAATTTTAGATGCTTTACAGTTTTTTTTCTGGATAAATTTCAGTATCTATGCAAGCAATTTGAAATTAATTATTATGAAGCTTAAAACGTGATTAATATTTTAATTGTTAACATTGAATCTTATTAAGGATTTTAATTGTTATATCGCAAGGGTCTATTGTTATATAAACAACGCACTTTACTTATTGTTATATGATTCATGAAAACAAACATTATTGGTCATATTAGACAGAAAGAGAGATTTTTCCTGTTTTTATTAGTTCATTTAAGTATTAACAATTTTAGCTAATTAACTTTTTTTTTTCGGGATACATTTCACTATTTATGTAAACAATTTAAAATAAATTATTATGAAGTTTAAAACATGATTGTTATATCGCAAGGGTCAATTGTTATATAAACAACGTGCTTTACTTATTATATATGATTCATAAACACAAACATTATTGGTCATATTAGACAGAAAGAGAGATTTTCATGTTTCAATTAGTTCACTTAAGTATTAACAATTTTAGCTGCTTTACAGTTTTTTTTCCAAGATAAATTTCAGTATTTATGCAACAATTTAAAATTAATTATTATAAAGCTTAAAACATGATTAATATTTTAATTGTTAACATTAAATCTTATTAGAGATTTTTATTGTTATATAGCAAGGGTCTATTGTTATATAAACAACGTACTTTACTTATTGTTATATGATTCATAAAAACAAACATTATTGGTCATATTAAACAGAAAGACAGATTTTCTTGTTGCAAGCACCAATCAACAAGCAAAACTTCCCTTCTTTGCTTTCGATTCTTTTTCCTTTTCGAGAGAAATAAAAGAGTCAGAAGAAAAAAAAAGTAATGGAAGTGCTGATTACAAAAATCCCTCTCGAGAAGAATTTTAGTAACCAGCAGCACTCTTTAATGTTTTTCCTGAGAGATTACAAGACAAGAGTTACAATACCTTTCCACAGAATGCGAAGATATATAAAATCGCAGGAGAAAACGAAATGTTTCGAAGGGAATTATTTTGTCATTAACAGATTTATGGATTCATTTTTCTGCTCTGTTTTCTGATTGCTGCAGATTTTAGTCAGCTTTCAACCGCATCAGAAGAGTCCACTGAGAATCATGCGGAAATGTGTTTTCTCTACGAAGAAATATAGTAAATAGATTTCGCATTATCCAATCATGATCTAACATTCTTAAGGTAGGGAACAAGATGCTGTGATAATGCACTAATAAAAATGCGTTCCTCAAGTGATTAAAATAATTGATACTGGATCAACTTCAAATAATAGCAATATTCGGAAATTGTAACACCATTTTAATTTATTCCCATCAATAAGCTTTGAAAATCGAGCTTTCTCTTAGAGATTAGCATCATTGAAATTTAATCCAAGACGACAGGCACCTTTGAAACGAACATGGAAGCGCGAATGCTATCCATCTAAATCACAACATCTTTACCTTGTTAAATCATTCAGAGTTAAATGTTTATAAGATATTCGTCTACTTTACTGAAGTATTTCGGTAGTTAAAATAACTTTAAGCATTTTTTTTTTTTGGAAAATGGCCCCTATCCCCCTGAACATGACATCTTTTTTATTACAAAAGCAATGATGGGCTTAAGAAAATTTTGACTTTTAATAAGCTTCAAAAAGCGTTTGGAAGAAGATTTTTGAAGAAAAGCTTACCAAGGTAAATATCATAATCGATTTTCAATTAACTTGTTGTTCCATTGGATTAATGAAAAATTTACAATTTTACAATTATTTTTGCAAATAGATTACTTCTCTTGAACTATTTACCCAGAGAATGGTACCCTGTTGCTTTTCTTTAAAAAAATAAAAAATAAAGTAAACTATTTTAAATAAATAAACTGAAGCCTTAACGGATTTCATTGATTTTCGATAATGCTTTCAAAGCTGTATATTCTTTTGTAAGCTTTAAACACCTTCACCTTATTCTACTCACACTACGATACTACTTTTTAACATTGTTCCTTTTTCGACAATATTACATCCTTTGAACATACATTGTTCCTTTTAAATGAAGGAGGAGCAAAGATGGTTAAAGTAAAACACACTAGTAATAATGAACAGACGGATTTCCATCCGTCAACAAAACAACTTTCATATTTCTTAGGCAAAAGGAAAGCAACCAATATTCCACCAACTAACAAAACATTTATTAGTTACTCAGAACCAATAGTTTTAAGTACTCATACAGTTACAAAGAATGTCCTTCATTTTGCAGACTTCATTATATAGAGGGATTGTGACATCACATTTTTGTGAAAAGAAATAACGTTAAGTGAACACCCGAAACAACGGTTGACGGCCTTTACCATTTTGTTTTTTAATATAGAGAGAAATGATCTAAGTGTATTTTTTAGGTGATAGCTGAACGCAAAGCTGAAATTTTAAAAGAGAGAGAAACTTTAGTCGAAGATGAGTCCAACAGTAATGTTGTATACGGTCAAAAAAGTAAAAGACGCTTGGCTTTGCTTGATACGTTGCTCGATCTGCATCTCAAGGATGCCACTTTCACTTTGGAAGATGTTGCTGAAGAAGTTGACAATTTTATGTTTGCTGTTAGTATAAGTATCTATTTATGGTGTTTTAAAATATGTTGTAAAGTATCCACATTCTTAGTGTTCTAGATTAGTGCTATTAGAATGCCTAAATTTGTTTATAACATGCAATGACATTATATTTTCTGTGAGTACAAGCATCCATTTATAATGCTTTAAAATATATTTTAAAGCATTTGCATTTTTAGATCTGTTGATTAGTACCTAGTGCAATTCTAATCACTAAAATTGTTAATAATATGCATTATATTTGCTGTAATTGCAGCGTATATAATGAATACAGAACTGTAGATTGGTACTTAGGGCTGTTGGAATGCTTAAAATTTTTAATAACATACAATTACATTATATTTTTTGTTAGTACAAGTACCTATTTATAGTATTTTTAAATATATTTCAAAGTATCTACATTCTTGGAACTGTGGATTAGAGCTTAGTGCTATTGGAATGCTTAAAATATTTAATTACATTCTATTACTTGTAATTGCTCTTGGTACAAGTATCTATTTATAGTGATAAAATATGTTTTAAAGTATTTTTATTCTTAGTATTAAGATTATTGCTTAGCGCTATTGAAAAACTGTTAATAGCGTACAGTCAAAAAATATACAAAATACTTAAAACTATACAAAATACACACCGTTGTCTCCTCTGCGTCCAAAGGATTAAACATTGTTTTATTCAAATCATGAGTTGATATTTAATTATACAGACTCATTAATCAAATAATAACATATTTATTAAATTTTTGAAAACATGTATAAGTTTAGTCAATAACCAAGTCATTTGGTTCACTAGCACTGGATATTCATTTTATTTTCCTTCCCAGTAGCATTAATCTTTAAGTTAACACGGATAGCTAATTAACAAATATTCCATTACTCTTACATTTGGTCTACGAGAGAAATGTAAAATTTTTATAGGCTCATGATCTATGTTAAGTTCACGAGATAGTGTACTTTATTCCAGACAACGTCCTTGTAAGTAAATTGTGACATGTATTGATACAATAAGTTAGTAGTCAGTTTCAGTAAGAAATTGGAATAACGTGGATTGGGAAGAAAAAAAAACATTTCTCAAAACCACGACAACTAAAATGGAAAAAGTGTGGAGAATGGGAAAATCTTAACCTTGAGACGTCTATTCTATTCAGAAATATTATAGTCAAGCAAAAGGTTAAATTTACCAGATATTTTTTGATTTTAAACATATTTTGCTAGGGTACTTTTTGCAGAAAATGATTCTTGATGTAGAGAATTAGTAAAGAAGATATGACCGAGAAATAAGTAAATCTGCAAAAAAATGACGCAGTGTATTAACGAATCAGGGAATAGCTAAATCACTTTACAAACGAAAAAAAGACATTTATCGTTTAATTTGTGATGCGATAATTATTGATCACACTTTTTTACTGTTTTTTTCCCCTTTAGTTCATGCTATTTATTTTGTTTTAATTACGACAACATACATTATCATCATATAAAAGACTGAATTGATTTGAGTAAATTATTTTAAAAAGTTAGTTGCAATTACTCATGTGCTTTGCTGTTTTGGACACATACTTATTCTCAATAATTTATAAGAAAAAGTTTAAGATTAATAAAATCAAACCTACATTCTTCAAATTGAAAAAAAATGCCTTATTTTTATTATTTTTCACATTTACTCAAGGAATCGTTATGAAAAAATATATTTAAGTTAGTCAAAATGAAAATAATGAACACGATATGAAATAATACGATCAATATGAAATAATAAACACGATGTGTTTCTTGATATTGATCTTTATACTTGTATAAAAAAAGTGCGGTCTAAATCTTTTTTAAAGAAATCAAATTTAAAAGAGATATTTTAATTTGACATGTTTGTAATTTACAAACAAAAGCATGCATGTAAAGTTTTTCTTTATTTGTCTTCTGTTCTTTTTTTTTTCTTTTTTTGTAAAAAAAATTGTTTTTTTAGGGACATGATACTACATCTTCAGGATTAAGCTTTGCTTTTTATTTGCTTGGTCTTCACCCAGAGATTCAGAAAAAAGCTCAGCAAGAAATCGATGATGTTTTAGGAGATGATGTCGACAGGCCAATTACATTGGATGACATAAAAGAACTCAGATACCTAGATCATGTTTTGAAAGTAAGTTTTCAATAAGTTAACAGTACCAGAATAAAAAGAAACTTTAGAAAGCTTACTAATTGTGAAGTTATAAATTGGATATTCCGATAGTTTTCATATGATGTATCTATAACAAGTACTTGAAAGCAAATAAGTAACCCTTATTAGTTATTACCAAAATATTTATAGCTTTATATACTTCATATATTTATGAGACATAGTTTACCAATTAATGGTGTATTTTTCATTAAAACTGGAAGGCTTTGCCCACTGTTCGCAAACTCTTGTAGTGCTTATAAATCATCATAGTTTATTTCTTCCTAAATATTTTCCACAAAAACACTGAATATTTTGGTTTTAAAATGCAAAATTATTCAAGTTTTATGTAATATCATTTTGTAAGTATGTTAATACTCGTAGTAGCGAAATAGAAAAATACCTAGGTTTTAAAAACAATCTATACTTGAAAAAAAAATAACCCAAGGGATGCATATTGTTTGATTTAATAAGAAAAATTAAATGAGAAAAATTAATCGTTGAAGAGACTTTTAAATACCAAAAAGGCAACGGTTTTTATAGCGAATTATTAGGTTTTTATTATTTTCAAAAGTTTCACTATGTTAAGATTTATATCTGGCAACATGTAATTTCGCTTTTTCTCTCAATCTCGTTTATTTAAAAAAAATTTCGTAGTGCGAAAAAAAATACAGCAACTCTATAAAAATGTATTCTTGCAGATTTTCAAAAATTGAAAGTTACATAATTTTTAATTGTTCAAGAAAGTTGTTTTAAATGAAAAATAAGTTATTTTCAAAACTGTGTGAAAATAACAGTTGTGTAAGTTTATTATTATTTCATAATATGTTTAAAAATTGCATTCATAATGAACAAACACTATTTGCAATTTTTAAAATATCTGTGATAATTTAACATCATGTAAGTAAAACAAATTCAATGTCTTACTATTTTAAGTGCATAGTCAGCTTAAAAATATTTTAAGCAACTTTCTCACTGGTTTACATGATTTTATCTGGATGAAAGTATAACTGGCAGCAGTGAGACGTCATCTATATCCGCATTATACTGAAAATGCAACATTATTTTGTTTTGAAGGCATGTTTAAAAATAATTAAGCTAAAATTATTAAATTGAAACCTTCTGAAAAATAAGCAATCAACGTTCACCCCTCCCTCTCATTAGGCCATGGTTCAAACTATCTAATGTTAAGTGTAATATCAGTGCCTCTAATTTAAATAGGTTGAGAGGCACTGATTTAAGGCATGGTGGAAAAGCCGTTTATTCTTGTTAAGTTTACTTTTCAGTTTTGTATTTTTTACTAAATGGGTGAATAAAAACTATAATTTTGCAAACCAGAATTCCTGGTAAACCATTACCATATGAACGGAAAAATTTCCAAAGAAATGGTTTAAAAACCACATATTTTATTTTTATTTTTTACTCAAAGTGTCACATTACCATTCAGTACAGTAATTTTATCAGAAATGTCACTATCAAACAGTGCTGATATTTTACCAGATTTTTTCTTCGGTACCCAAACTATTGAAATAAATACAGTATTTTGTTTTTGAAACACCATAGTAAGTAAATTATTTCCAGACTTTTAATTCAATTACGTTTACTTTTATTTTTCTGTCTGTAGGAAACTAGGAGGCTATACCCACCCACACCATTTATTGCAAGAGATTTAGAAGAGGACACATTTATTGGTAAGTGGATAAAAAAGAAACTATTCAACCTAAATAACTTTTTAAAAAAAACATAAATGCCTACAAACTTTTAAATTAGATTTGTTTAAGTATATTTTAAGTGCTTTTGCTGAAAAAAAATGGTAGTTTAGATTTGTTTTTACTTAAGCATTTAAAACTCGCTTAGGCGTATCCTCGGGTCAGTTAGTTTTTTATTTGTTAAGATATGCTCCATTTGTAAATAAAATACATCGAAATGTTTGTTCTTTATATTAAACATTAAAGGTTTGAATTTATTTAGCTATAATTACTGGTTTCTCAATGCCTTTAAGAAATGCCTAAAGTTGTTTTGAAAAAAATTTAAACTTCTTTCCTTATCTGAAAATCTTTCGAAGCGAGACTGTCTTATATTTTTTCAATATATTTGACGAAAATTTACTCTATTTTTTAAAATACTCTATCCTTTAAAAATTTTCAATGGGGCAAATAACAGACGTTATTTCAAATATTCTTGTTTTCTGAATGTTTTAAATATTTTTTAATAAGCAAAAATTTTAGTTTTTTACTAAAAAATAAATAGAATTTAAGCTATCCTTCTTTGTATCCAGTATTAAAAAAACAACAAAAGTAATTTAAAATTATTTTCAAAGAAATAGTGTTAGATTTAAAAAGAAAATTGAAGCTTAAGAAATTTCTGCAAAATATCAAAATACTAAATCAGAAAAAAAACATAATAAGAATAATTTTTAATTTAATAATAACGAAATAATTTTTAAGATTAAAAGATAAAAAAAATGAGATAAAAAATAACATTAAGAAATTATACAAAGGATGAAAAAAATAAGATAAAAAATAATATTAAAAAATTATACGAAATGAGTCGACAAAATGAGTTTTACAGAAATTTTTATCAGTACTGTAAACGAGATAATGTTTATTCTAACTAAAACGAGCTCTTCTTTATCCTTTCGCTTTCTGTTTTAATTAAATATCAAAACTAATTATCTCATCAAAACTAATTAAATATCAAAACTCTGTTAAATTTTCAAAAAAAAAATTAACAGAGAAAAGTCATTTAGTTTTATACAAAAGATGAAAAACTAAAATAAAAATTAATATTAAAAAATTATACAAAAGATAAAAAAAAATGAGTAGACAAAATGAATTTTACAGAAATTTTTATCAGTACTGTAAACGAGATAATGTTTATTATAATTAAAACGAGCTCTTCTTTATCCTTTCGCTTTCTGTTTTAATTCAATATCAAAACTTTAGAACATTAAAATATTACAATACAAAGACTGTTATTTTCAAAAAAATCAACAGAGAAAAGCCATTTAGTTTAAAAAAATTGTTTAATGTTTAATCTTCAATAATTAAAATTGTCTTTTTGAAGCACATAATTACATTTTAAGAATTTGTATCTTAAAAAAAGTGAGTCGACAAATGAGTTTTACATCATTTCTTATTAGAAGTATAAGCTAGTTAGTATTTATTATAAAGCAATTTTAAGAAGAAAAAAAAGCTTTAATTTTTGCATTTAAAAAATTTGAAAGTCATACATTTTTTTACGTTTTATGTATTGAAAATTTAAACATTTAAGCTCCTTAAAAAAAAAGTTTTTTAGAGTAACTTTATTTCGTATTTAGTAAAAGTAATGAAAATTCAATATCATTCTTTTTATCAATTACAAAAAAATATTATTGAGTTTAACTTCATATAAAAATTATTTTCAAAAAGATTTACATTTATTTTTATAACGTTCTACCAGAGCATCGTAATATCCTTACATATAACTATCTAAAATAAAAAAATTATTCAAAATCTTTTACTCTTATCCATATCTTTAATTCTATACAATTAATTCCTTACTATTTAATTCACCAAATGAAATTTATCTAATAATAGTTCTGCAAAGAAGCATAAAAACTAATTATTTCTCTTTTTGAAATCAAAATAACATCATGGTTTCATTACATTATTTTGAAAAGAATCAAGAAACGAACACAACTTTTTTATTCTTTCTCCCTCTCATCAAAACTATCGACATTTATTAGATTGAAAACATTTAATTTTATACTAATGACAAAAAAGTAACTGTCCTTACCTAACACATTCAAAATACACCATATCATCTGAAATCAGGGCTTTATCTGATGGGCCGATTCATAAATGTAATGAATGTCACTTTCCCATCCATCATTGCCCTGAAAGCTCACACACATATGCAATCACTATTATTCTTTTTTACTCGTCCGAAGTATAAAAAATTCAAATGAATATAATCTATAATTACGAAGATTCCGACTAGTTGGTGAAAGAGAAAAAACTGGTCTTGAAGAGTGGATCTCTCGAAATAGGGCTGTGCTCTAGAAAGAATAAGAAAGGAAAAAGAACGAATTTGAGTTATCAGTTCGTTAAAGAAAAAATATCGTTTGACTTGTTGTGGTAAAGTTAGGGTTAAATATCATCATAAAAATAATACACTACTTTAACACTCCTTAATTTCCTGTTTTTTCTTTCGAATTTTTTTCATTAAAAACACACAAAATCTCGTATTTTAGGGAAATAATCACTTAGAGGATGCTTGTAAAACTAATCTGATTCATTTTATTAAACAAATTTTCGTCAATCTTTTTTCAAATCTTTTTATCGTTCATTTTTTCAAATTAGAGCTAAAGATAGACAAATTAATTATTAACAATGGTTTGGAATTCATCGTTAGCGATAGAGTGGCACACACACTGGCACATAAACATACAGTACTAGCACAGTTTAGATAAGAGGGCAGATGGTGCTAGTAATCCTCCATGCACCAGAACTTTTATTTACAATCGAGCAACCTCTAACGACTCACTCTACTTTTTGAAAATTTTCCTCTTGCCTGTAGTTGGTTCCAATTATAATGCAAGTTTTTAATTCTTTTAAAATTTGTTTCCGAAACAAAAAGAAAAAAAAAGGTCAAGAATCACGTTTTTTAAAAATTTATTTAAGAAAATGCTTAACAGAAGAGCCGGTCGTTAAAAGCTGCTGGATTGGAAAATCGCCTCGGGAGCACGCTCTTCAACTATGCGTATATGTTTCCGGTTTTAAGACTACCTGGGACAATACAATAAAGTGAATTCTGGAACGTAAAATCACGTATGTCGAAAATTTAATTTGTTAAGGCAACAAATGTTTAATACGCTGAATAGAACCCGGCCAAAGTCATTGTAGCTGAAGACTCTAACCTATCGCACTAACTGAACGGCAAGTAATTCAAAAACGGTGCTTTTAAAGTATTGTTTTGATTACTGACTGATTCACGCAATGCAAAAAACACGTGATGTTAGATGAATCGTTTGGACATGTGCATCAAAGTTATAAATATTGCAAACTAAACTGTGGATCGCTATTACAAGATATTACTTTGGTTAAGAGAAGATTTAAAGCGTTTCTTAAAACTGAAAAAAAAAAATGGATTGTCTTCTTTTTATATTTGACTAACGTCCAATATTTTTTAAGTAACTTTTATGAAATTCAAAAACACTGGCTTTTATAACATAAGTTATAAAATATAAATTATTATATTTTTGTATTAAAGCAATTCCTAATTGTAAAGTAGCTTTTACAAAAGCAATTATATTTCGTACCCTTTGTTACTTTCAAAGTCTCTTGAAAACGATATTTTATTCAAAAAAACGAAAAAATATCTTTTTAATGCAATCAATACTTTTTATATTATTTTATAATTGACGTTGAACAGCTGACCCAATTTTTAATTTTCGACAAGCTATGATCAACTCCTTAGTATTTGTAATTTTAAACTGAACTCAGAAGACGAGGGAACTCCTGCCTTAAGCATTGTGACCAAATAACCTTCATGGAGAACTTTTTGATGGAATTAATCCGCATTTGAGGACAAATCCACATTGCGACGAAAGACCTGAAAACCTCCCACGGTTAGCCTGACTACAAGGGAATTCTAATAGATGAGTCGTCCACCACTGAGGATATTTCAGTACTGTGGTTGGTCCGAGTCGATAGCAGAATTCGTATCAATCGACACGCTTTTTCACCTGAACCACTGTGGCTCATGCAGTCAATAGTGAAAATATCAAAAATTCTACAAAAATTAAAATAAAATTAGTTAGATTAATAAAACTTCTCGATATATTCATTCAGAATAAAACGTGGAAATCAGAAACAAAATCGAAACAATAGTTCGGCTAGAGTTAGCCTAATTTTCTGACGTTTTAGAATTTTTGTAAGCGAATGACAAAAATTTTACACTACCATTTCTGAAGCTTATTTCTTCAACAAAGCAACTCATTATAGTTATCCATACGTCAAATCAATACAGTTCAACTATTCTGAAACATTCCGTAATAGATTTATAATGTGTTACCTAATTTAAATAATTACACTTAAACTAAATAATTCGATAAAATTTCATTATTTAAATTCGTCTGTAAACAATTATTTTAACTAAACGAGATAAAACTAACTTTAAAGCTAATTTTATATCTCTCTTATTTTGCATGTCTTTATAATTTAATAAAATTTGTGAAGTTATGGATTTGATAAACCTTGATAATTTACTTTAAATATCTTATGTAAAATTGTGCTTATATCTTTTTAGATGGACATCTCATTCCAAAAGGTACCAGTTGTGGTATTCTAATTTACATGCTTCACCGGGATCCAAATGTTTTTCCCAATCCTGAAAAGTTCGATCCGGATCGTTTTCAGATTGCCAACTCTACCGGCAGGCACCCATTTGCTTATGTTCCCTTTTCTGCTGGCCCTAGAAATTGCATTGGTAATTAAAAAAATAATAACTAGTGCTAATTAAGTAAAGGGTATAATAAGATTCACGCAAAGTTTGAATTTGGCACAATTTTTCTCGTAAAATGTTGCAAAGGAAAAAAAATAAAACAGCATAACAGATGATAGTTCAAGTTCATAAAAAATAGTGATATAGGAAAGAATAATGCATTTTTACTACAGTATAATATTTTGAACAATAATCTATTTTCTGCTATATTTTGGTGATCAGAATTGACAATTATCGGGAAATTTAACATCATTTTTAAATAAAGTAACCTATTTTTACCTAACGTTTTAACCTTAACATTTATCTTTAGTTTTAACACTTCATGCCTAGAGGGATGAAATAAAGCTCAATATAAATGAAAATTAGTCTTTTATGCAAGAGGATCATCGAAATGACTTTGAGATAAGAATACCTACAAAACTGCAGAGGTGATTTATTGAATGTGTTATAATACAGAGTAATACATAAATAACCTTAAGACGCAAATTTTTTTTTCCAAAAATTTTTTTAATGAAAAACCTGTGATTTTTATCAAAATATCTCCTTGTTTGCATTTAAGAACGCATTGCATTAAAATCTCTTAAGATTTAATTATATAATACAGGTGTATCAAAACAAATTATCTAGTTATAACTAACTTACAAGTATTTATGCATCTTAAAAACCTAAAATTTTATCACTGACACATAAATTTAAACATGAAACCGACTTTTGCGAAGTTTTACACATAAAAGCTATACTGGCTGTTAAATAATACTTTTTTTTATTACAGATTTAAGGTTTCTGTAAATAGAATATACGTTTCAAGGTTGCGTGATTCCCCCCCCCTTTCCGTTACCATGGTATCCACAAATCTTGCTTTTTCCTCACGCCAGTACGTAATTATTATAATAATATTATAATAATATACAATTACGAATTATCGATACTCCTTAACTGCCACGTAAATGAAAAGCCTGTCACATGGTTACCAGAGCGACGAAGGTAGGAAATGTGACCTTGAGACACCAATTTTAATTACAAGGAGTATAACGGCATTTAGAACATATTTTTTGTTTACAAATTTTTAATTGAAACATAATTTCAAATTTGAATTGAAACGCTTATTGAATGTAAAGTTTTAAAATGTATCTAGATTGTAATATCACATAATATTTGTGTGTTAAAAATGCAATGCGAGTGAAAAATAATAATACAACTAATGAACCGAAGAACCTAATATACATAACGTCTTATTCTTGTAAACGGTTCAGAATTTCTACTTTCTTATCATCACATGTAATCAACATATGTTTGTTTATTTTAGGACAACGGTTTGCTACTTTTGAAGCCATTACCGTGTTGGCTACTGTCTTAAGAAAATTCAATTTGAAATCTTTGGATGCCTTAGACAAAATCCACATCACGGATGAACTTGTTTTGCGAGCGGAAAATGGATTGCGGATGGTATTCGAGCCACGAAAGAAATGAAACCAAGAATAAGTTTAATACTGTACTTTTGTTTTTCTGCATCATCATTTATTTAATCTTTGTAATACTTCTTGTTAAATATTTGTAAAATAAATCGACCTTTTTCTTCGTTATTTAATCAGTTTTTTTTTAAAATTGCAACTTGCTTTATCTGGGCTTTTCAATCATCAAAATTGTATGGTATTTTATTCGATTTGGTTAACAAAAATATTTGATTAAACGTAACACTGACATTTTAATTATACATATACATTTTTTAAATAATTGAGTTTCCATTTCTTTATAAATAATAATTATAGATACATCGAAGTACTTCTGGTTTTTAGGGATACTTTATATATCCCAAAGAATAACTTACAACCAAAACTACCTGGTGTTTTGGTAAAACTACGAAAATTCCTATGGGACCATTCTGGCCTTTGCCGTCATTTTATGCATAAGGTTTTATATATACGTTTATATAAGCCTAACACATGAGTGATTAAATAAGCATTCAAATTGGATAAGTTATGATAAGTCAGAAATACTCAATTCTAAAAGTAAGTTATTTTTCGAATTACAGAGCAACAGAAAACGAGAGAGGTCAAATTCACCCAATTCGTCTTTCTAGCGTTCACACGGAACTCTATAAAAGTAAATAAACGTAACAAATTTAAGCATTACACTCTTACTTGCCAATGATACATTTTATAAAGAAGAACGCAGTGTAATAATGTTTTCTCACAAAATATAAATTTTCCAAGGAAAGAATAATTGTATCTGAAGACTTAGTTAATATACTAAGGCCCGTTATCAGCTAAAACTTTCAATATCTCAAGTAATATATTTTTATTCTGTTAAAATTATAATTTATGCTTTGAAACAAAGCCCATTTCCTTTCCATTCTGTTCTAAAATTTATTTCAAAACACATAATGCTAAAAGCTTCATTTTTTAATTATATTGGCCACTTTTTTTACTTTAAAAAATATTATATTAAACGTTATTGAAACAGTTATATTACTATAAAATATTAGTATTGCAACTATATTAATATAGCAAGTATATTAATATAGTATATTGCAACTATATTACTATAAAATATTAGTATTGCAACTATATTATCTGTCCTATAATAACCGAACAGCAAGATGTGATTGGATAAGGAAATAAAATAAAATATAATATGACGTCTTTAATAAGCTGTTGGTCTAATTTTTTTATTTGATAAATTTTGTTTCATAATACAAAATGATATTCGTGGAAAACCGCATCATTTTGAGCTTTCTTTTAAAATGCACAAAAACTACTTAGAAAACTACTTAAAACTTTTTAGATTTTTAAGATATTCAAATTGGACTTTATTCTTTAGTTACCAAATACAATTAACTACAAAATTATGAAAAAAGTTTTCCTTTTTTCCGAGCAAGCACAGTATTGAAAAATAACTACTTTAAGTACTCGTATCTTTAGCAGCTTTTCACGAATTATTTTCAAATTTTAAAACAATATTTGTTTTTAAGTTTATATGTATCCAAATTTTTTTTTTAGTTTTATTATTTTTTTTAAAAATTATAGAAAAAAAAACGCAGGACAAAAAATATAATATTCTGAAAAAATGTCTCTATTTCCATAAATAATTAAGTTAGGTTTACGAGATTTCATGCAGCTATTGCAAATAACAGCCAAAACAATCTATATAAGTTACAAGTTAATTGCTTGATTTTGTGGCATAGGGTGTTCAAAAATACTTCTTTTCTTTCGTAATTTATTGGCTGTTCCTCAAACCTTTGAAAGATTTAATCCCTACTGCTAAGTATGATGAATCGCATAACGTAAACACCTCTAAAGTTACAAAATAATCAACTCAGAAATTATTGAGAAATTTATAAAAATTTTTTCTAAAACCTAAAAGGGTCTCTTCTATTATTGTAGGGTAGTGTATATAGATGTATGATGATGGCATTAAATGTGATGATATCATTATGGAATATTATAAAGCTCTCTTTAAATTATTAGATTTATTTATTGTTTAATAAGATTTAAAAATCATAAGAACTTGAAAAATGAATTGGATTTTGAGCAATTTTATAAATTTTTAAAATATGTTTTCGAGCAATAGAAGAAAATAAAAAAAAATATATAATTTTAACAACACTGCAGCATTATCAAAATCGTTGTTCAGGAAATCGTAATCTGTGCAATTTATAAAGTTTTTTCGAATCAAGAAGTGCAACATAAAAGGTTCCGAAAATAATTTAATTTACGATGTTAATATTTAGGAGCTTTGTAAAAAAGCGCTATTATTATCAGAGCACAAACTTATAATCAATCAAATGTTTTTTTTTAGTAAATTTGCTAACAAAATGGGGGAAAATTTTCAAATTTCTTTAAATCATATACAAAAATATCTGAAACAATGCATGAAGATGTGGAAAACTGTTATATAATGTGTTAGTTTATTAATTAAACCCACTTATTTCCAATAAAATTATTTTCACAATTTTTGAAACATTTTCAAATTTTGCAATTTACACAAAGAAAATTTTAATATCGCAAAACATTTTGATGTAAGATCTGGTGATCTATAAAGTGTGGTATTTTCAAAGTCTCAATAGCCTATAGTTTGTCAATAGTTTACTCAAAATGGCACTTGAAAAAATATGTGAAGAAATTTAATTATACTCTGTTGCAAATTAAGAAAAAACCATTATCTCCTGTAGAGAGAGCTTATTTGCATCTGTGGAGTGTGTAGCTATTCGACCATATGAACCTTCATCTGTGAAAAGGTACCCCAACTTAGAATCGAGTTAACATATCTTATATACTAGTGAATTGGAATTATAATTTTGTTGTGGTAGATACGTCACACATCTAAGTGCACGCCAAATGGATGCCAAGCTGGCAGCACGAACGAATTTCAACATCGCCAACTCTTGAAATGACGTAGCACGATCTTCTCTTTGCTTATAAATAATAGCACGAATTAAATTTTTGTCGAACGAGTTTAAGTTTTTAAAGCCTTTTTATTGTTTTCAAAGCATAATTATATAGAATGATAGCTAATTAAAAGGAACTATATTCAGTCGAGGATGATTACTTAAATCCTATACCGCAATGGTTTTTTCTTAACTTTCAAAGGAGTGTAAAATCATAAAAACAACAACCAAACTTCCTTTTCTTATTAACTAAACTTACCAAAAACTAACTGAATATATGAATATCATTAGTCTAATTTTCAAATAATTAGTTTAAACGAAAGTTTGAACGCTGAAACCTACATATGAGAAACTAAGGCACGATTAAAAATCAACAAAATGAAATTAAAATATATATTGACACTCGCAGACCATCATAAATGATCGCAAAACAATTATTTGATTCCTAAATTTAACTATAATTTATATTATTACCAAATATATGGAAGGCAATAGCAAAATAAATAGTTTAGAGTAAAACACTATAATTTGGCAAGGCTGTAATTAGTCTCAAACGCTTGGCATTTATCCTCCTATGTCTGGAAGAAGAAACTATCTGCAGAGATCTGAATAACAATAAATATGTGGAGTGTCTGAGATCTTTGTCGGGAAGCCATTTTGAAAAGAACTTCTAAAGGATAAATAGCAGGGTTAAGAGAAGAAAGATTAAAATAACATATAATGATCAGAAATGCAGAATTGTTGATAGATAGATTATTTTAATTACTATTATGTTCCATATTTTTCGTCATTCCAGAGTATTTTAAAGTCAGTAACAATCAAAGATTAACAAAAGCAGTTATAGTATAAAACAATTGAGTTCATAATTGTAAAAACTTGTTTAAAATCTTTCACTTTTTAACTAAAACTTTTCTATGAAAATAATTAGTTATACAATAAGTTTTAATTTTACTCAATTACCCAGAAGGTTTAAATTTTCATTGTTTTTAAACAATAAATAACTAAGAATTTTTTTTAAAAAAATGTGATTTTTTAAAAATAAAAAAAATATTAGCTAGGAAAGTCTTAAAAATTAATACAAAAAGACTGCATGCAATATATATATTTTTTTTTTTACTCCGAAAGTATAATGATTGAAGTAGTAGTATAGTATAGCCGGTAATATTTAGAGCACTCTTGAAAGACATTATAAATTTTACTTTAACAATTATAACGCTTAATTTTAAAAAAAATTATAGCGTAAATTAAAAAAAATTAGCGTTATTTATATTTTTTAATTTATATATGCTTTCAAATTAATTTTTCATCAAAAAAATATATTTTTTAATAATTTCAATTAAATATTCCACATTAAAAAATAACAGCAATTGTATGGCCGCAAAATTTAAATGTGTAAGGGTGCAGTATTAATAAATAATAATGCCCATTGTTTATTGGATGCTTCCTTATCGAGAAATGCATTTCTTCTCTTAGCGATGAAATCAGAAAGTCACTGAATACATTTTTTTTTAAAAACTTTGTAGAAAATTTTACTTTTGAAATGCAGAATATATTTTATTTTATAAATTGCATTATTTTATATATTTTATATAACAAAGAAGGAATGAAAATTTACTGATGGATTTGGGCCACATTCTACTTTATTAGATTCATAAAAATTTATTGTTGGACTATTACAGTAATATTGGGTTTTGGAACGGTCGCAAAGACCATGCAAAGATCATTCTCTTTGAGAAACTAAAACAGAAGTAATAAGTAATTGCAATTCTTTTTTGTTAATGTTGATATTTGGCATGTCCCTCTTTTAAGTGAGGAGATTCACCAGTAAAATATTAAAACTGTTCTGAATAATAATTTCAAATAATTAAAGCATGTTGACGATAAAAGTATTTTTGCTGTGAACTATATGGGACACACCCATTACTAAATAAAATAATTCTTGTAAAGATTTTTCATCCTTCCATCACAAGCAATCATCCTACTTTTTTGAGGGGAGGGGGGGGGGAGAAAATGAGTACTGCATTTCTGGTTCCTCCGTTTTCTTTCGTCTTTTCTTTCAACAGCAGTGGTTTAGTAAATCGGATTTTTTTTTTCCTTTTTGAAACCTTTATGCCGTTTAATATAATTGGGCTAATTTAGAAAGCATTAAAATTTCACATGAAAAATTAGCTCAAGCTTAATATGATGCACAAATTA